CCCCCCCCCCCCCCGCCCCCCCCCGCCCCCCCCCCCCCCCCCCCCCCCCCCCCCCCCCCCGCCCCCCCAACCCCCCCCCCCCCCCCCCCCCCCCCCCCCCCCCCCCCGCCTGCATCGGTTTCGATTCCGCGAGTCATGGGGAAATTTAATTTTTTCTTTTTTGGAGCCTGGACGGCCGAACAGGTTAGAACTCATGAAAGGTAGGCAGGTACCTTAGGTAGCTATGCTGAAAATGGGCTTCTAGCTTTAGTGACGGGCCGGGTCGATAGACTCAAATGGGTATAATGCGGTCCCATCATCATGCGAAACATCGTGTCTTTTTTTGGTGAACAATTGGTTTCACAGCGTGGACCGGTCTGGGTCTGTCTCTTTTTCCCTCTTCCATTGGGCTCAGTGACTTTCGGAAGTACCTACCTAAACGAAGCCAATGGCTTCACCGATGGGAGATAGTGGGAATGCTATGGTTGGTAATGGATATTTGCAAAACTAATAAATATCGATTATGGAAACGCGCTTCCTTTCTCGTTATCATCTATGTAGGTACCTTAGAGGTAGGTAGGCTACCTAGGGATGCATCGGTATTTAGGTAGGTAGTGAGATAAGTACAGTGATGATGGACTTGGCCGACTCGGACCGTTTCCATCTATCTGATATATATATCGGATACTTCGTGCTGCGCTGTGTTGTGGTGCGCTGCGGTAAGACTGGTTCAACATGAGTCCCGGGGTTGGGTGGTTTCTTTCGCAATCCCGTGGCGTAAGAGCTGGTTGTTCCGTTAAGGTTACCTGACAACATTAGGGGGATTCGCGCCTATCTCGTTACTGAGACAAGGATCCCAATATATCTGACCTTATTGGCTGACGGTTATCTGTCGATCTTTTTGGGGAAGAGGGAAATCTATACCCCTCGATCATCATTCTCATCCTTTAAATCAGATAAATCAATCGGATCGGTGTACTTATCGCATTTGTTACCTTGTGTGGATAACAGTAAGGCTGGGTATATAATACTCAGAGTCTCTCTCTTCCTCCCCAATGTGGCATGTGGAAGCTGGCATAGGTCCGATTAGGTGCGAGCATTGTCGGGGAGCATGTCTTCCCTTGTGACTTGAAATGTTACACGTCTTATATACACGGAATTGTTTATGTAGAGATGATGAAATTTTTTTTTTAAAAAAAAAGGTGCAATGGATATATGGTTTGGTCAGAGGTTCCTAATGTCGGAGGTATTTTGGTATTATGGAATTATGAATGAATCAGAGAGAGAGAGAGAGCTCTGTTATGTAAGTGCATATATTCTTTTAGACGCAAATCCCGTAGCCGACCAACAGTTCTCCATCCTTTTACATAATCTCAATCATGCCGGTATCCAGTTTGCTCCCCGTAAACAAAAATTGAAAAGAACCACCGAAGAAAAAAAAAAATCTTTCTTCTTCCTTCCTTCATTTTGATAAGTTGTGCCGTCATGGAACCGAGCCGGCCTGTTACCAGTATCCAAACCCGAGAGAGAATTGGGCCAGGCCAAAAACTCTTTTCAGACGAGCCCGAAAACGTGATTAACAGCTGTCATATAAATGGACCTACGAATTCCCATTAGCTAACTTCACCAAGCCTGTCTCCATTCCTTAGGAACATCATCAAGTACCTACATACTATGTATGGACACTAGATACCCGCCCATACCAGTCATACCAGTCATACCAGTCATAGGTACCAGTCATAGAGAAACCGGGTAGGCGCCTATGCCTGGTACCGTCCACGGGTACAATCACGAAGTACATAATGATGATGTTCGGTCAGGCTCCGATCTCGTTGTATTCCATAATCAGACCGCATGATGAATTAGACCAATCAAATGCGACCACCCTCCTGGTTTAAGTATCACCATCAATACAATGATACCGCATGCGATCAATCACGTATTGGATCGGCGAGTCAGAGCCCGGGAAAAGCGATAAGGGGAACCTGACGGGCTTTGATTGATAAAAGAAATCGGAAGTCTACCTACCTATTCCCATGAGGTACACGCAATAAACTAACCATCCTCCAATACAATAACTATAATGCGTACCATACTTTTTATTCAACACTATTCACCGCTCTTAGAAGGCAATAATATTTTCAGACTTTTACGATACCCACGCTTTAGGTACCTCTTATCCAAACCAACCCCTATTAGGTATTAAGTACAACCTGTTAACCTGTTATGCTCCGGGCATGTATTGTACCTAATCCCCTTACATCTAAACGACCAGTCAGGTTCCTTTCCCTGACCTATTTTAGTCTGAGCCGCTTTTCGACTTCCATTACTAATAAGCTAACCCATGCTGTATTAGACCTTCTCTCCCGCCTTCCACGCTCCGGCCTAGCGCATTCTTATTGGATTGTTGTGCTACCAACTCTTACCGCACATATACTTTAACATTTTGGGGGGGGAGGGGGGAGGGGGTTTAAACTGTATATATATTGTTTATATATAACTTAAAAAATTAAAACGTTTTATATTATAAATTAAAAATATCGCATTTATATTTTTAAACGTTAAATTTATTTAAGTAATTTAAAAATTATTTTATTATATATTTATAATTTAAAATAATTAAGCCATTTAAAAGTTTAAATTATAATATATAAATTTATAACGTTAAATAAAAAAACCGCAAAAATACCATTTAATTAATAAATCGTGGAAATATAAATACGTTAATAAATTTAAGCCGTTTATTATTATAAACCATATATATACAATTCGATATATTGAGCTAAATATATACTATTAAATAAACCCCCACCAAGATGCTAAGGTAAGAGGTTAAGCTATACTTACTTACCTCCTACCTGGTGGGTAAAGGTAAAGCATGCAACATTGAGCAACTTTCGCATTCGTTCGTCAGCCTTTCCTTGTCTTGCTAGGTACCATAGTACCTAGCCTCTTAATCAATCTTACATGCATTACCTAAGATGAGACTCTACGTATCTTTGCCTAATCTACGCGCGTCTGAATATAAAGTTCAAGATAAGAAATTTCGAACGTTATCCATCAACGTAACGAAGTAGGTTAGGTTAGGTATCGTTTGGGTACAAAACATCAGCGTATAAACTTTCTTCGTTCTTTTCCTAGGTAAATTTCTTTGTGCGCTCATGCTTTATCTTTATGCTACCTTCATGCTACTCGTTAGCAAGTACATAAAAAAGTGTCTGAATGCCAAAGCTTGCTCCGGTTAGAGTCGATTACCTACCTAGTCGACTAGGTTGATAAACTTGATAGCAGTTCCCCGGATTTCACAACAGCCCCCCCCTAGCACACACCTAGACCAACTCATACATTATTACCTTAGGCCTGGGTATGTATCTAAATAGTCCGACGGGTCCCGTCATACCCTCCATGTTCTTTTTCAGCCTACATAATCTAGCCTAGTAAAGGTAACATACCTGACTATGCCTTCTTGATATTAGGTATGTGCATTGTATGTGCATTATATGTAAGGCATGTACATCTGCATATGTGCTTTAACCCTCCCTCTTCCCTAACCTCCTAACCTATTAAGATTCTTCCTGAACTTGAGCATTCGATCGATCCATCAGGCTCTACCTGAGTTACTACTATCACATCTATTTATTTCATCTACCTCCGGATATACGTATACATACCTAAGTACCCAAAGTATGTGGACTTGAGGTATACCTATCAACCTACCTAACATATATAAATACTCCTTCAGACATAAACCACTTTATCGTATCCAAGGTATGTTTTAATGAAAATGAACCACTTATTAGGGCAAGGCGAAACCCGTGTGAGATCTTTTCAAACAAGAGCAAGAACCTTATTAGGTTGCTTCGCACTGGACCCTTAGGTTGGGATTCGGAACTTGGAAGTCACTATGCAAAGTACGCTTAGGTACTAACCCGTTCGTTCGTAAGGTACCTCCGTCAAGGTCCTCAATTCTCAATCGGGATATTGCAGATGGGTTAAAAATTCCCATCCGTAGTATATCCACTTTTCAGACTTTCACATAGTCGAGACTAGGTTGATATTGCGTGCCTGGACTTTCCTAAGACTGGGGACACAAGACTGGACCTACCTAGGTACTAACGGTCAAGGCCATCCCAACCGCCGGCAAAATTAAACTTGCTCCCTACTGTGCCTACTCTGTTTTTTTTCCTCTTCTTTTAGGTTACTTAACTTTTTTTTTATCCTTTTTTTTTCTTCTCTTACTTTGTACTCATGCTTTTCCATCTGACTTCCACTCTTCTTATTTTATAGTAAAGTCACCTGAGCTCTCTTGGTTCCACGCTATCTTTTCCTTACCTTGCCTTACCTTGCCTACCTTGTCTGTCTACCTAACCTTGTCTACTTCTCCTACCCACCTAAGCAAGACCATCGTCAACCCTAGAAATAAGTTGGGCCCCATTGGCCCTCACCTTAGCTTTCGATCAAACCCACACCACAAGTCTATTCTGCTACAGCTTCTCTCAACAGTTTTCTTCGATGAGTGTACGGAATCCCTCTTCTCTTTTATAAGTGCGGCTTCGGCTTGGTCTTCTTCGTTTCTTGCATCATCGGGACGTCACAGTGCTCGTCCAGCTATCTGAGCTCGCCTCCTATTTTTTTTTCTCACACGGTATTGATAGCTCTTTCGTGTTACACAAAAGCTCGAGCGTTAAAGAACCGAGTTGGAATTGGCATTGGAATTACATACCTATACAACCATGTCTTCTACAAATCCTATCCCGATTAGGACTGACCTGGTTTTTCGACCAGTACAAGCACCAAGCGAGAAAAGCAACGCATCTTCACCCAAGTCCTCGGCGATGCAGGGCACAAGACACAAACATACGCGCTCTTCATACTCGGAGAGCTCGCCTCTTACTGCCATGTCTAGGAATAACTCACTAACTTATCGTCCTCTAAAACGGTCAACTCCGTCGCCAGACAAGACTATTGCTATTATTAATGCCAGCGGTCGTCAGGCGGCCTCCTTAATCCGGATAGCCACTGCTGTAGGTTACAGGGTTCGCGCCCAGCTTCGCAACCTGGAAGGCGTTATAGCTACCGAAGTTTCGACGAATCCAAATGTTACAGTTTTTGTTGGAGAACTTTATCTTCGAAACAAACCTGACGACAAAAGGGACGTTACTGTTCACGGCCACCTCCCGGGGATTCTGGTCAACCATGCTTTGATCTCGCAGCTGTTCAATGGCGCGCAGCTAGCTTTCATCAACACGACGTTTTATGGAAATGAAATACAGATAGGAGAAGCTATTGCGGACGCTGCAAAGAAGGCCGGCGTCCAACATTACGTATATTCATCCATGCCCGACCACGCGGCTTATAACCCGGAATGGCCCTCGTTGCCCCTTTGGGCGGCCAAGCATGAGGTGGAGAAATATGTTCGCAAGATAGGGTTACCAGCCACATTCGTCTATACTGGAATCTACAACAACAATTTCACATCACTCCGTTATCCGCTATTCTGCATGGAATTACAGCCGGATGGTTCGTTTGTATGGCAAGCCCCCTTCCACCCGCATGCCAAGCTTCCCTGGTTAGACGCTGAACATGATGTGGGACCGGCCATCATTCAGCTTTTTAAAGACGGGCCAGAAAAGTGGAATGGGAAGCGTATCGCGTTGGCCTACGAGTACCTGACACCCATAGAAGCCTGCAAAGCGTTCGAGAAAGGGTTAGGCAGGCGTGTTCGTTATAAACACGGGCCCATAGAAGTGCTGGTGAAGATTCCGGAGGGCTATCGGGAACAGCTGGAAGCGTTGGAGAAACTCTTTTCGCCGCATAACACCGAGCCTACAAAGCAGCCGCCTTATTTTGGAGATCTGGAGCTCGAAAGAAGATGTCCTGAAGATGCTCTAGCATTATGGGAAGGGCCGAGGGGACTAGAAGAATATGCGCGCGAAATATTCCCGTTGGAAGAGGAAGCAAACGGAATGACTTGGATGCTTTGCAGTGACGTTGTTCCTGGGCTCGAGGGCCCAGTGGAGGAAAACATAGAGATGACTAATAATGGGGAAGATGAGGACGGTGATGGTGATAACGAATCCCTAGATGAAGGATTAATAATGGTAAGCAATACTCATTACTTCAAACTACTTTGGGGCACAATGTCCGCTTTACGGGACAACACCGCTCCTATTCTTCAAAGGCGGACAATCCAATGTTCGCATTAGTACAAATACTAATCGAACATTTTACAGAGAGGGCTCAAACGAGACGAAGAGTCATGGCTGGCATAAGTACCGAGTTACTGTGCGTGTCATGACATTCCCTGCGACTAAGAACGCGGAAATAATCTGGTATTACTTTCAGGCTTGGATATTCTCCTGGGGGCAGAACATAATGCTCACAGTCGCTACACAACCACTTACGCATTGTTATTCTAAAACATTTGCATTGGCTCGGTTGCTGTAAACAGGCTTCTGTCTTAGTATAAACCGATAAGATAATAGCGGTTATACAACAGGAAAGCATATTCGGTTGGTGAGACATCATAGGATATTGCATATGGAAACTGGCAGAGGTGTCTGGTGATCGCTAATGTTTCGGTTGTTAAGACAGCATACATAATGATTAGAGCGTTGCCCGGTCATATCTTCTATAAGTTCGTCGGCGTTGGATTACAAAAGTTTCTACTCATACCCGCTATATCTTGGGAACGCCTGAAGCGACCTAGATCATTTGGCGAGGTTCCAGTATCTTACACGGGTTATTACAGGATGGACGGGGTAGGGTTTCAAAAAGTTCGGCGTATCCAGGTACGAGCTGGTATTCGGGGAGGGAGCTGACGTTGAATGACAAAGGATTAACTCGACGGAGAAATAAAGTGACCTCTTACAAATATATATCCGACTGGGCTTGTTTAAGGAAGAGGTGCCGATTAAGACTAAACACTGGAGTTAAGCGACTCGTGTGGTTTGGGATAACGATGGGCATTTGAAAATACCCAGGCTGGCCGTAATAGGGAGGGCCGAGGCCAGAATAGTTCATGAATGAAGACTGGTTGTTGAATCCATCTGTGTACATGCCTACCTGATATGTATGTGGCATTCAGTATACCTTTAATTAATAAGTATCACTTCGATTGCAAGTGTTTTCCACCTAAGGCTAGCCAGTTCGTATTCACTAACCACTACATGAACAGAGGGCATCTAAACGTCCTCTAATAGACAAATCTAGATCATGGCAGAACCCGATTAAGACTACCACTATACCGGGCCAAATCCTCGCCTTCCCCCCGAAACTTACTCCTTGGGTGCATTCGCTATGTCGTGTACCCTCACCCGCAGCGGAGTCACCATCCGAGTACAGTACGAGAACCCCTTATGGCTGGGGAGGAGGGGAGTATGGTTAGGAAGCTTTTAGCACTGTGAGCAGACTTGGACAGGAGGAGGGTATTGGATGTTGGGTAGTAAGTATATCATGTTGTGGTCGTGGTCGTGGCCGTGGCATATACATACCTCCTACCTAGGTAGGTACCTAAATCTAGTGGGGAGCAGTAAATGTGCGTAGGTTATCTTAGGTAGGTGTTCTATATCCTTTACATTCCCGGCGCCAGCTCAACAAGCTGACTGAAACGCTAATCCAGCTTTAACTCACTTATTTATATATATATATTACCATGTGGAGGTATATTTGAGAATCCAAGATGAATATGACGATTCTACAATCCAGATTCCTCTCCACAGCAATACTAAACATCTGATCCTAAATCTTCCGTTACAGATGGATGCTAGCTATATATCCAACAAATTCGCAAGACCACCTCCCGTCTGTGATTCACTTACTTCCTTACCTCCTTTCCTCCGTCCTTCCCGTACAGCTGTAGGTACGTCGCTTGCAGGCGCATCTGGAGGTGCTCGTCCGCCGTCAGCACCTTCTTATCATCACCTAAGCCCTGGCTACGAGCGGTTTCGCTCTCGTTTTGGCCTGCCGCCTTGACACGCTCGCTGGGAACGGAGGCCAGTGGCGTGTCATTGGCCGGATGGCAGAAGTAGGCGATGGAGTACCGCGGGTCGGCGGTGGACTCGCCGGCCGCGAGGGCCTCTAGCGCCGAGGGGAAGGCGACGCGGTGGACTAGCGGCGCGTATTAACGGATAGGTACTTCGTCTAAGTAGTAAGGGGGTTTGGAAATACCACAAGAGTGATAACCACTCCGTAGATATTCAGCTCGAACGAAAAGATACTACCTATCTCCTAGTATAGAACAAAAAAAAAAGGGGGGGTGGGGGTGGGGTGAACTCTCAATGCTACGTACCTGTACTGCGGAGCAGCCCGTTTGTCCAGTATGAGAGCAAGTCGCCGATGTTGACGAGAATAGGCGGCGGTGCGGTGGTATTCGCGTCTCCGCTGGTGCTAGGCGGATCGACGGGGACAGGCGCCCAACGCTCTGTGCGGGGTTCGAGAATCTCGAGGCCAGCTTGGCCGCGTAACCTGAACAGAAGCGTGATGGACCCATAATCCGAGTGCGCACCCGCGCGCACATCGTCAGGGTGCGCTTCAGGTGTTCTGCTAGGTGGCGGGTAGTACAACAACCGCAGGATGGAGCCTGACGGAAGAGTGGGATTATGCGCAGCAGAGAAGAAATCTGGCGGATTCACCTTTGGGATTGGTTAGAAAGGGGTAGCTCGGGCGTGTTGGGGGGTTGCGCTTACTCCCAGTCCGATGCCAAAGAGTAGGAGTAGCTTTCGGCAGAGTTGGTGGCATGCATCCCGGAAGGCGGCGAGCTCTGCTTGATGAGGCTCGACAGTCTGGGGGATGGGCTGTGTAGCCTTGCTATTGACAAAGGGACCGAAGTTGAAGGCTCTTGGGGATTCTTATTTAGCCTGGGTTTTCTTCCACCACACATAAGGTGATAAGTAGGTACCTATATAGGCTGTGAGGTAAGGTATGTATACTAACTCTTTGAAGTCTCCTACCTGAAGAGAAGATATTAATCTCGGTAAGTCCGTCTTGGATACCTAGGCTAGGCGAGGTGGTACGGGCTTACTCTTTGAGTCTTGGGGTCCAAAGTCTCGGTATGCATACCAGTCCACCCCTGATTATTTTTCTCGATCTTACATCTCTGCTTGTCCTCGACGGGCGAATCGAATAAGATGCGCGACTATATATGCGAGATAGGATAAGATTAGATATTCTTTTTTTTCCATCAAAATAAGAAGTCCATAAGGATCGTATTCTCGTCTCCCAATATGAAATAACTACGACCTACCACTTTGAAAGCGTTGTCTATTTGCTCCTCCGAAATATCTTGACACTTGATATAGACAAAGCCGTAGTCGATGGCGGCATCTACCAACTCTTTGGCAATTTGAGCTTGGTCCACGCCTTCGGCTGATGAGATGTCGACAACGGGAAGAGTTGCAGCTCCAGCCATGACTGAGGACCTCGGGAGAGCCTGAAGACTTGATGTACTCAGATAAGAAAATTTAATTCATGTTGATCAGTAGAAGTGTCACAGCAGGGCAACTAATCAAAGCTAGGTAATGAATGGACCTAATGTATGTTGTGCAGGCGACATGAGATAAGTACCTAGCAACATTCTACGGAGAAGATGAGAGATAAGATAAAGTATCTGCACATACCTAATACCATGGGAGGTAGGTGCTTTTAGGTATTAACCTAACATGTATGAAATCGTCACACGAAGATTAAATGGCTTAGGTATTTCAATAATAAAGTATATGACTAGTAAAGTACCTACCTATATGACGCGTCATTGTACTATTTACACGGTTTAATATGTTAGGCACGTTTAAGTAACTTTAGGTAACTATAACTGCTAAACTCAAATTTAGGTACGTACATTTTAGGTACCTACCTCCTAAGGTACCTAGGTAATCATAGAGCTCAGGGGTTTTCTATATAATTAGGTAGTGTCGCTACCTCCAGCAGGCTAGTCCCACAACCCTTGTCCCACCTACCCGTCCACCCTTACCGCGAGGCTTTGACCTTAGGTCGTGCCTCACCTCAGAACCTCACTACCGGTTCTCCAACCGCAGCTGCAGCCTTAAGGGAAAAAAAGGTGCATCTTTACTTTCACCATCGCACCGACTTTTCCTTCCCGCCCCGACATAGTCCTCCTTCCATCTCATGTCAAGCTCAGTCACTCCTTTTATGAAATCTGCGAGTTCCACCTGTCATCTTTTCAGCCGGCGGGTTTGAGCGCTGCGAGTTCTACTTTCCTCACTTCGACTTCGACAATTCCACAGTTCGACCACAGTTCGACGATCGTCATAGCAGACCCAAAGTCCCATATCTCATACATACAACAAACAAACGAACAGGCAATAGCGCTTCGATTTGCGCAAAGTCTATCTTAAAGATGCCGAGTAAGTTTTGAACTTCTATTTCTTTGCTTAAGGATCGACAGAATTCTGCCTTCCTGCTTTAGATTTTGATTTTCCTGCTTGCATCCTCGCACATCTTCGCACATCTTCGCATCCGCTTCTATACCATTCCATGGCCTTGGACTTCACTGTTACTCATACAACCCACCACTTTTGTTATGCCTGACTTAAGGGATTCACGATCACCATTTCGATTCCTTTTGTGCCTCGGCTCCACTATGTATGATTTGGGAGAGCTCAACTCTGTGCCCCCGTTTGTCGAGGCTGATTTGAGCCGGGCTCTCGAATCGCTTAACCGGGAAGGGTTATTTGTCACTCTTCGCGATCGCCTCCCCCGCAATACGAGACCTATAGTAGATGAGTGGTGGAAGACATCAGTTAGAAGCTGTGAGACCTTACAGGGTACTTTGCAGAAAAGGCCACGATACTTCTCTTCCTTCATCATATTAGTACTGTTCTAGCTTGATGTCACTATTGCTAATTAGCTTTTATAGGCGCTTTTGAAGATCACTGGATCAACGAGCAAGTGGCGTAAGCACCACGTCATGTTATTCTCGATATCCTAGGACTAATAACGTTGTAGGTCCGCCGAGGTCTCCCAGCTCGAGGACACTGCCATTGCGGTTGATGCCTCGTACTATCTGCAACTGTTTCTCGACAATGTCCCTTATCACGAGCCTCTCCTCCCTGCCCTCGGCGGCTTAACCGGCATTCAATCACACATCGAACATGACCTTGATAGTTGGCAGTCCAATAAAACCATTCCTTTCTTTATCTTCAATGGTCAGTCCATTGAAGGCGAAGATGAAGTTTCCGTCCAGAGGGGGAAGAGAGCGATTGCAGGTACCGACGAGGCCTGGGGCCTCTATTTCCAAAGCCAGGCCAATGAAGCTGTGACAGCCTTTGGCTCTCATCGAGGTATGGCCCAACGTCATGGCTACCTCTTAGCTCGGACATAAAGCTTACATAGCATAGGAGCTTACCCTGTCCACAATCTATTCCCACTTCTACAGGGTATCCTCAAGCGCCGTGGGCTCCACTTCTTAGTCCCCCCTTTCCACGCATCTGCGCAAGTGAGTCGTCCTTTTCGAAAGTTGGGATTCTCTGTAACTAATAAATTCCAAGTTGGCATATTTTGATATGATCGACTCAGAGCAATGCTCAGCTATCATGGGCTCGCAAGAATTGTTACTTTATCCAATCAAGGATCATGTTATCCGATTCATTGATTGGGATGCAGGCACATTTACCGCCATCTCCAAGAAGAGTATCATCAGAACTTTAGGCGTGACTGAAGCTCTATTTATCGACGCATTGCTGATGGCAGGAACAACTTTTCTCCCCACGTTCCCCCCTTTGAAAGAGCCTCAAATTACCGTCCGCCAGCCTCCATCCGTACAGGACGCTATTAACATGCTACGAACCTCAGAGAAGTCGGTTGCTAATGCTTGCAACTCATTCAACGATATTTTGAATAAGAGCAAAAACCCAAACTGGCTACAGAAGTACCGCAAAGCCAGAATGAGCATCGATCACTTCATCTACATTGAAGAATCTGGAGAAATCAAGGTCCATAACTTCGAAACGCTAACCCGGGACAACTGGGAATATCTCGGCTATCAGTTACCGGCCGAGCTATTTCACTATCTTAACACGGGTCTTATCGGGGCACGCATGCTCAGCTGGATTACTCACGGCCAAATTGTCATCTATCCAACCCTCGATGGAGTCAAGTCAGAAGAGTATAGGAACCTGGTTACGAACCAGCTGATGCCTTTGAGAGAGGCAGCTCTCAGCCTTCTACTTCCTCGACTACACCGAGGTATACAGTATAAACCGATTACTGTGAAGGTTTGGTATGACGAGAAGTATTCCCACAAGATTGAGTACCGTCCTCAAGAGAACCAGGCGTTGAGCAGAGCACATACCTGGAATATCAACAGCACCATTGCGGTGCGCTATCCCGATGCTAAGCATGGGTCTATCATCTTTGAAGTAACAGCACTGAAGAATCAGGACTTTGCGAAGAGCACAATTGCTAAAGAGAAGGTCAAAGGCATCGGTTCTGCTGATCTGATATCGTCAATCACAATATGGCGCTTCCTCCATCTGCGTGGTTACGTAGATGATTCTCACCAGCTTACACCCTGGGGTCAAGCTTTGGCAACGTCTCTAGAGACACTTACGCCTACCGTTGAGAAGCACAGCCAAGTTCCTGGCCTGTACGAAGCGGTCCTTTTAGCTTATGAACTTCTCAGGTTTGATTTACTTAATACCCGAAACCAGCACCCAGAACTGAACGGTCTACCTATGAATGGAACTGAGGATGACAAGGCAAGCTTACTACTAATCAGCCGCTGCGCAATCCTTTTGAAGCTGCGTCACCAGGCAAATGGCTATACTGGTCCACTCAGCAAGAATTTCTTGTGCTTCCGATCATTGAGTTCGTCTATTCGAGAGGCCGACAGGGATCTCATTGAAGCGATTGTGGCGTCCATGCTACTATTTGCGCAGACGGAACGAGAACGGGATGATTATTTGGAGATTGGTCACAGGTTGGTTGTGTGATTCATGATATAAGGATGGTCCGCGTGCTAATATTTACTAGGCTACCCTTTTTGAGTGACACAGACGTTGCTCTTGGTATCGCCGTTAAGACACTGCTGGACGACATTCACCCCAACGAGACGGCCGAGCAGAAGGCAGTAAAGAAGCAAGAGTTCCCTGGTACATTCGTCCCATACGCAACTCACTTCTTCGAAGATCTGGATATAGCTTTCAACTTCTTCGATGCCATCCACGCAGGTGTCAAGACTCTCAAGAGTGAAGTCTCTCCCGCTGACCGAAGCGCGTGGGACAAAGCTGCCTTGTATCTTCAACAGCGACGCTAAGCTCACGCCCGGTTATCGTATAATTAAATATTTCAACAAACCCTGTCAACAGCCCTCGTCATTAGTTCCAGGGAGAAGGTCGCGAAGGGGGAGTTAAGGGTGAAGTAGGCATCTAACTATCTGACGAAATTCCGACACTGCTTGGCTTATCAATTGCATATGCTACTTGGTTTATTAGCTCTCTTCGCTGTTAACCTCCATTGGCCCATTTTGTTTGGTAGGAATTGCTATCTTCGAGCATGCACCTGGTAGCCCACATATATATGAAGTTAACGTATTCCGATGTCCTTCAGGTTCCCCGCAAGGCGTTTTGGTCACAAAAAAATATCTGTTACTTTTAAGACCATTTGTGGTATCAAGTCGCAAAGTCTTTACCTACCTACCTACCCTACTAAGATAGCTAGGTATTAGGGGGCTACCATATAGGCTTCACAGGCGGACGGTCACGAGCTTATGAGATGAATAATCCCCATTGGTATGTAGCCGAGTAATATGCCCAATAAAAACAAATCAGTATTATCATATGTAATCTAAGCCCCTCGTGCCATTCGCTTAATCATAGTATTCTTATCGAGGACATACATAATATTGCACGTATAGTTGGCGACGGCAGGTAGGTATTCTACAAAATAATGAGCTCATCGATATTTTGATAACCGTAGAGGGGGTATAACTTGCAAGCTAGGCTATTTTTGCCATTTAGACACTTATCCCTAACTAGGCCATGTTGCTGCTCTCTTAAAAGGGCGAGGCGTTCACAGCCAGACGGGAACTGCTTGGGAACGAATAGGTAATAACCAATCTAGTTGGATCATACCTTAGGTACCTACCTACAGGACTCTGGTTATAATCTCAGAAAATGAGGATTAGTTTAGTTTAGCCTCGCAATGCTAATCAGCATCGTCACAGATTCTTCAGATCGTAGGCAACTTAAGGGAAACGACTTCGTATTTCTCAACCGCCCCCGTTTTTTCTTTTCCCTCCTATTTTCCTTATTGCGTGTTTATCGCAGTCATCATTAATTGATAGACTCGCAGTAAAATCAATCGAAAGTAGCTGCCTAATGTAGCTAATATACAATACAATACAATACAGAACAGTACAGTACAATAGCAAGACATCGCAGAGTTGAATCGAATCGAGTCGAATCGTAAATCAACAACTACATACATATGTGCAACTAACTGTGTTGTTGCATGCGTATGCCAAGCCTAAGCTTAAATGGCAAAACCTCGTCCTATCATACACGAGAGACGGGTTATAATAAACAAGATGCCCTCATTGGGGGGAGGGGGGGGGGGGGGGGGGGGGACATTGTTTTTAAAAAAAATAAAAATGTTTGAACGGAAACCAAACCCAAACAATAGAAAAAGTTTAAAAATTTATAACCGTTAAATTAGGCCCCA